TGATGTGAATTTGAACGTATATTTTTAATTTAAATGTTTTAGGTATAATCACGAAGATTTTAGTGGTTAAAAAGATGATTGTTATCACTTGAAGTCTTGGATTCATTGTAAAATGATTGAGTATTCATTTAACATTCGGAAACATTTTCGTTTGAATGTCAAAAAATGATAAAATTATGTTACTAATGCTTAAACTTCTTAAGCTTCATAGTTTAAACATCAACTTTTATCATGTATTCAATTTAGTCCTTACATTTATCAATATTTAAAATATAAAAAATAAAAAGTAAACGATTTTTTAAACAAACCATTAAACGAGTTTGTTGATAAATATAAAAAAACAAATCTTTGATAATTTCTAAACAAGGATGTTATCCCTTGAGGTTTTGTCGCCTTCTCAAACAAGCCAATTTTTTTTAGTAGTTAAGGGATTTGTTGTTATCTCTTGAAATATTGAATTCGAACACTACAAATGTCAGAGATATGAACGTTCATTAAAAAATGATTAAGAATCTTTCAATAGGTGTTACCTTGTATTTATTCTAAATTTACGCCATATAAACGGTTAACGAACAATTCATTTACACCTCTACCTTTTGAGTTGTAGAGATGGAAATTATTATTATTTTAACTCGAAGAAAGGATTGTATTCCCTCAATTATGGATTCCAGTTTTTTTAACAGATTGTTTAAGCCCACAAATACTCTGTTTGTGATTATAGTATCTCCGCAGTGAATGAAAGAAGAATTTAAATGACACATTGTAAAAGAGGACAAGTGTTTAAGGGCACAACAACCCTAAAACCGACTGATTTTGTGTACCTCTAACATTATGAAAATTCCTAGTCTTCTTCTACCTGTGACTGCAAAAATCCAGGAGTTTCTTCCTCCCTTCAACAATCTCATCAAAGAAATCATCAAGTTGAGCTACAATGTTCTCTGCTCCACATCTCAACACCCCAAAGCATCCTTTCATGTTTTCAACTCTTTCCCTCATCATCCCTTCCTCTCCACTTCCACTCTCCATCTCCTCTCTCACCTCTTCCATCGCCATCTTCGCCTTCCTATACTCATACATCAATATCCCCCCGCCCCTCCCATTCATTCCGTTTATCTCTTCCGCCACCCTCCTCTGCAGCCTCGCCGTCGATATCATGAACGTCGATCCGAAAAATATACACCCTTCGTTTCCTCCTCTCAAGAAACTCGATTCCGGCCAGCAATACACCAGCCCGTACAGCAATATCATCAGCAGCAATGAGCTCACATTCCTCATTGCGTAAATACTCCTCGAAAACCATTGAACCCGTTCAGCTTCGATTCTATTGACACCTTCTCGTCGAACCTTAATGAAAGCGGTTGGATTCTCGTTTGCATCAAACCTTTGTTCTCTTCTTCTAGTCCCACAGCTTCCCTTGTGCACCCTGAAATCGCTCGGATTATCTGTTGCTTTTTAACAAATATCAGATCATCAATTCAATGGTTCAACAATTAAAAAACCAAAAAAGGACTAATTTAATGACCTGTCTGGAGAGTTGTGGGCTAAGATATCGATGAGTGTCGAGAGAAGAAGTGATGTTAAAACCACAGAATAATAGTTTTCGAGGCCTGAAAGACCCAACTTGAGGACATGGCAAGCTTCCCAAAGCTTGGAACTTTCGTCCATGTACTCATCGAGCCACTTATCGCCGACGGGAAGGTGGAGTTTTTGGACAAGGAGGAGTAGGTGGGAATGGAAAGATCGAAGAAGGGAGAGAACCCTTTGAAGGAATTGGAGTGACATGAAGTTATTGGATAGGTAAACACGTTCAAGTTCATCTATGCCACGAGTAAGGAAGGTGTAGAAGCCATTGACAGAGCTTGTGGAAGATGGATCCATTGTTAAGGAGGGGGGAAGAGTTTTGAGAGTGAGAGTAGAAGGGGGGGGGGGGGGGGGGGGGGGGGAAAGGATATAAAGAGGAGGATATTTAGAAGCTCAAGTTTCCAAGGTAGAAAAGGATTGTTGGGAGCAATGAAGGTGTTTCCTATAGAGGGGAAAGTATGATGGTAATTTGCCATTTCTTTGTTTAATGGGGCAGAAAAGAAGGGTAGTCAAATAGAAATATATACGTACTCCATATTAAAATAACAGTTTATTATAAGAAAATTTTAAGAATTCGTAACTTTTTAAGTGGATTGAGTAGGAATGTTGATTTCTCATAAGTTTTGTGTTCGAGTAGTTGTATATGTAAGGATAAGAATACGTTGTCAACTGATTAAAAAAATTCTAAATATATATGACTTTAGCCCAATAAAAAAGAGGATGTTATTTTTCTTATGACATAATGTCAAAAATAACCCTAATATTTATTAAAATATCATTTTACCCGTTATTCTTTTTTGGGAGTATTTTAGCCCCCCAATGTTTCATTTTAGGACAAAAAACTCCTTCCAATATGAAAACAATTAGTTAACGAACGATTAACACTAAAATTAAGAGTTTTTTTAACCTAAAATGAAACATTAAAGGCTAAAATGCACAGAAAAAGAATAAGAGACAGAATGATTATTCTGTGAAATGTTATAAGTCATTTTATCTTAAAATAAAATATTATGGGCCAAAATGCTAAAAAAATTAAAATAAACTAAAATAATCATTTAATAAACACTGAGAACTAATTTTAATATTATTTATCATATTATGGGTTCGGATCTATTAGATATATTTAGGTTGTTAATAAACTCAAACTACGTCTGAACATATATTACAAAGAATGTATTTATAAAAATTTTAAATAAAATATTATTTAGGGAAAAGATAAAAAATTTGAAGTGTATGGCTAAACGCTAATGGTCCCTTAAATTCCACGATTTCTTTCATGAACTCCCTTCCGACCTTCCAATTTCTACCTTGTCTCATCCCATTTTTCTTTTTTTTTTTTGTATTTTAGATTAAATTATAGTTTAAATAGCATACTCAAATTTGAGATTTAATCTTTTTAACAAAATATTTCATCTTTATATATTAATTTGACATAATTTAATTCTTTATTTTATATTTTAATTACTTAATAACTAATTTAAATAGCTAAAACTATAACTATTCCTGTTAAAGTTCTTACATATATTTTTCATATAAACATTCATTTTGATAAAAAAAAACATATTTCAATAATTTAACTAAAATAATTAATGGTATGCTTTTTTAAAATAGTATGGGATTGTCACAAGATAATATATGTTCAGAACTTTTTTAATCAATTGTTTGACAAAACACATACAAACCTAACAGATACAACTGTTCGAATTTATGACTTTTAGAAAGAATAATATTATCTTTTATCACTGAGATCACTCGACAAGTTTAACATAATTAATTACATTAAAAAGAACGAAGGCCAACAAATTGTGCTAAGTTAAAATATAAATACTAAATGTGTGAAATTTGAAGGCCAAAATTATAATCGGAGGGTATATTTTAGTGTTTAGAAGGCAAGTGGGGGTATTTAGGCATTTGAAATGGATTAGAGGGTGCATTGTTCAAGTATGATAGACTATTTGGGGTTCATTGGGTTATAAAAAGTTTGACTGGTCTGGATTTCCCCCAAAATAAAAGCTTGAAATTTGCAAGTGGAGTTCATTGTCTTATTTTCCTTCTCGAGCAACTGAATTTGGTCCTTCACTTCACTTGCATTCTATTGAAATTTGTGGCTTTTATTTTTACTAGACATTTTCTCTTTGATTTTTTCAAAAGAATGGGGCCTTGTACTTCTCTCTTATTTAATATACTGTTCCTTCAAATTCATGACCCATAAACGGCGGAACTTAGACAAAACAAAATTAAATCCTGGCTTTATTGTTAGTACTACTTGCTAATCAAAAGCAACGGATACATTTATTTCTCACCACAAATTTTTTAAGGGTAAATATCGTATTTAGTTATATAATTATCACTTTGGTTTCGTTTTGATTATACAATTATTTTTTTCAAAATCATTACTAACGTTATGTTTTGATTTCATTTTAATCATCGGGTCGTTAAAAAATTAATAAAACTATTGACATGTCATTTTTTTTATTTAGTGATGACATGACATTACCTTATAATGACATGTAAGTATCACTGCTAATTTTTTTAACAACAAGTGACTAAAACAAAACTAAAACATAACATTAGTGATGATTTTGAAAAAAAAAATAGTTGGATAGCTAACACAGAACTCAAATAATAGTTGGGTGACTAAATACGATTAAATCTTTTTCTTAATTATTTGAATGTTGTTTATGGAGTATGATAATAAAATAATGTAGAAAATGGATTTGGAGGTCTCGTGGGTTTTTGGAGAACGGGACAAGTAAAGAGGATGTTGGTCTTTTGGGATTTTCATTGGAAAGTGAAGGAAGATGAAGAAGCCAAACAATTTGCGTTGATTCAAACGCCCATCCCCTTCACCTTGTCTTCCATCTACAGCTAGGAACTACCACCACAGCCTTTAATTATGGATTATATTATAAACAACATAACCACTTATCTATTTTTTTATTACATCCCCTTTTCGTACCGTTTTGTCCATTTCCATTGACATAAACGAATGGATGTGTTACAGTACTATCTATATATATCTATATCTATAACTATATTTAATAATATATGGTGATTATAAAGTAGTATCAATTTAAATATTATTTTTAATCTATTGATAACGTACATAATTTCTATAGACGTAATTACTTAAAATCATTGATGAAAATGAAACATTTGTGGAGGGGAAAAAAAGGATGGAAATTCTTTAGTTTCAACACTCATATCAACGTATTAATCAATACCTAAGGAGTTCTGTTACTGAACGAAGCACTAAATGTTTAAAGCGAGAATTGACAGAAGCAATGGATTTTCTTGTCATGGTTTGCAATTTCATGATTCCATCTCCAATAGTTTGGTCATGCTTTGACACTTATGAGCATCTCTGGGAAATGCACTGTATATCCAGCCATGTGTTGTGTTGACCGATTCGGTCAACCGAGTCCATGTTCGAGTTGGTACGATCATTTCGAGTCAATCATCAGCATATCATAGCGCACAAGTCATCATCCTAGCCTGTGAAACGTTGGTGAAAGGGAAGAACCTGGTGTTTCCATTATACAAACAGGTCAATGTCATCTCAGAGCTGCTCTTCATGATCTGCAATTACATGCCATTATACTTTGGATTTGAAGTAAATATGGATCAGAAAGCAGAACTTCAGTTTGGAATTAGATAGTAATTGCTTTGATGCTTTTGTCCACCATCACAAGGACAGTGATCATCACAAAAGAAGCAAAACAATAATCAAATTTGTGTCAGTATATATATACCTCACATGTCTTTGGTCCATCATTGCAGCTCCACCTTTTGGAAGGGATACAGTCAATGAATCTACACCATCCGCAATACTGATTCATATCAATGCCTAGGAATACTGCTACAATACATCCAGAAAGTCTGCAAATGAAACAAGACCCTTGTCTAAGATCGAACACGTTTGTTAACAAGAACAACAAAATGGATTCAGCTCGACATTTAGGCGGACAAAACTTACAGAAGAACAAACAGTACAAGAGAAATGCTCCTCAGGATCAGCCTGTCGAGCTCCAGCTTCTGCTTTACTTTAATAGTATTTTTGGCACGGTTGACGCCATATTCAAATAACCCTGCTTTGTTTTTAGACATTTGCCTAACCTGAGGGGTAAGTAGAAGCACAAACCCGAGTAGAAGTCCTGATACAAAGGCTCCGATATTTGCAAAATTGTCAATGTAAGGTAGCAAACCGAGGAGGAAATTCATCACCATAACTGTGAAAAGAGTTGTTAGGGCTGCACACTGCAATAAACCACAAAGGGAGGGATAAGTGAACATCAGTTGGAGATAGACATTAGTCGATACGAGGAAAACGAGAATTAAGCACCTGCTCGAGTAAACTTTCCAGTTCCGGATTAGCCCTGAGAGCATCGTTCCAAGTAATCCAAACAAAGCACCAGAGGAAGTAACCACAGGATTTCTTCTAACAAAAAGTGAACATATCAAGCTACCAGAAAATGCAGAAAGCAGGTAGATTACCCCAATTCTCACTGTCAATCAAAAGTGAAAATGTCAGTCAATAAAAATTTTAGTGGATCAATGCAAAGTAAGGGTACTTATGTGATGAGAACAGTTCCCTTACAAGCTCCATAGTCTCTCTCTAAGTGGATGCCAAAAAAGATCGTACAGCTGATATTGATTACAAAATGTATGATCCCAGCATGTAACCAGGGGCAAACGAAGAAACGCCAATTGAAGGGGTTCTGAGCCAAAAATACCCTTCGAAGTGCCCCAACTTTGTCTAGCCTGCAACATTACAATCATGATTTCAGCACGGAAACTAAGGCCAATAAACTTAAAATCATAGCCATGAAAAAGTTGAACAAAAATTGTTAGAAATAACAAAGAAAAGGGTAGCAAAAGTGAAAAATCTTTATATGACAGTAATCTGATTCAGAATAGTAAATGACTTAACAGCAATCAAAGCAATTCTTTTTCTTCGAAAAGACTATGATTCAGAGCACCTTAACTAAGAAAACCCGAAAGAACACACTTTAAACACCAAGAATCAAAGAGGAAATAGAACTGACGTGGAAGCAGAGGGGCCAAGCAGGGGATTCTCAGAGAGAGGCTGAAAGAATACACTGGGAAGTGAGAAATAGTTGACGAGAGTGGTGGTTATAAAAGTCATGAGATGGAAGATGACCAAGAGAGAGATGAGCCATGTGTCGGACGCCCTCTGCCGGTACCGTGACTTGAAGAAGGGTAGTTTCCCTTCCATCTGGTTATCCGTATCGGGGTCGTCGAGTACGGATGAGGATGGGGGCGGTGGTTCTTGGCCTTGGGGGTTGATTTCGATCTTGGTATGGAGCTTATTGCCTAGGCTTTCTCCTTCCATTTCATAAAAGAGTCAATCTTTTGCTGGAGAGAATAAAAGAATTGAGCTCCGGTGTTCTTGAAGTCACTGTGTGGTCTAGACGGTTGGTTTTGGAGGGAATATTTTGCGTACGCTACAACGAATTTTCGATTTTGTTAATGTAAGTAGCTGTGTGACTTCGTATTTAGACACCAAATTATCACTTTGTTCAATTTTTATCACCCAACTAGTTTTTTCTTTTTTTCAAAATTATATCTAGCATTACGTTTTGATTCCGTTTTTGGTCACCCGACATTAAAAAATAAACATAATTGTTGACATGGTAAATATTTAATTTTTTCTCAGTAATAACACGCTAATATTACCGTTAATTTTTTAACGAAAAACGACCAAACCTAACTTTATATATGATTTTGAAAAAAAAACAATAATTAAATGACCAAAACAAAACTAAAGTGATAGTCGAATGACTAAATACATAATTTACCCTAGTAAAAATTAAATTATATATGATGTTTAGGATTATATTGTACATATATAATTTATATAAACATCAAATTATTATATCATATTCAAATACAATTTTATATTAATAAAAAATACAATTATAAGATCTGAGTTATGAATTAAATTATATTTTGAAAATATAATTAATTTAAATTTAAGTGTGTTTATTTGAGGGCATGAAAAAATATTTATTTGAGTAAATCCAAATTAAATACAAATCAAATTTAAGTACATACTAAGTTGGAGTTAACTTGAGATCAAATTATTTTGAATTATAGATCAATTTCTAGTTGAATGAATTGAGATGGTTAACTCATCAGATTAGGTCAAATTTGAGATAAAAGTATGAGATTCAGGTCAAATTTGACATCCATCTTATGGTGTTAGGAAACAATTGCGTTGTAGGCAACTAACGAGCAATAACAGTTATTGGTTACTAATTTTTAAATGCATTTTGAGTTTGCATGGAGAGATGAAACAACATAATAGCAGGTGACAATAACCATCCGATATTGAATCACAAAATCCAAAACCCGAAACTGAAAAGCAGAATTATGCAGCAAGTTTTCCTCATTTCGGAGAGAGACATACATACCCCCTATAAATATTAGCAACACGTATATGGGTTGACCAATCCATGTCTTAAATCTGTCTTCAGTCACATATGGGGAAGATGGTGAAGTATTCCTAGCCGGCCACTTTTTAATCATGAAGGGCGTACAACGGCCGCCAATGAAAACCAATAACTGAATTTCTTCGGGTACTTATGCAATTCTTTATCCTTGCAACGTCTTCTCAAGAATGATACACCAGTTTGATTTGTCATAAAACTTATCAACGATCACAGCATTATCCATTCCCGATACCAACCTGCACAAATTTGTGTAAAATAAGTTAGCAGAAATCTGCAGATGTAAATGACAGGGCATAATTTCCATTCCGGTAACAAACTGATTTTATGATGATAAACGAAGATGGTTGAATATGTTCCATCTTAACTGAAATCGTGTAAATCCCTTGGACATCAGTTCCCAAGGCGATAATATAGACAGTTGCAAACAGTATTTTGAAAACCGGACCGGACCGGCCGGTTCAACCGGGAACCGCTGTCTAATCCGGTTTATTCTACACCGGTTAAACATCTACTAGTGAACCGGAAGGAACCGCTGAACCGACTGTGAACCGTTCGAATCGGACCGGACAGTGATCCGGCTGAAAATCGGTTCTGTTTTTTTTCTAAAAAAAATTAAATCAAACGACGTTTATCAAGTTCAACTCGAACTCGAAATATAATATTGAAACTTGAACTCAAAAAAGAATAGAATTCAAAAAAAAATTAGAAGCTCGATTGAAGCCTGAAATTCAAGCTCGATTGAAGCGAAAGAATAGTTCGCTCTATGCTCACCAAAAGACCCCATGATTTTGATTGTCAAATTACCTCTATTATTTATAGAAGTCAGTTGAAATGCTCTTCTATGTTTCTTAGCTATGTGAGATTTTTTTTTTTTAAAAAATTTAACCAAACGACATCGTTTGTTATGATTTTTTTAATCTCAAATTTATTTTTTGATTATAATTATATAATTAAATTTATTATTTAATATGTTTTACCTTAAATATTATGTTGTAATTGATTTGAATCATTTTGTTTCACTTGATTTTATGATTTTTAACTTATATATGTTATAACTTAATTTGAATATGTATTGTGATATAAAAAACTGTTTTTTATTAAATGTTTTTTATATTTTTATTTAATTTTTTAAATAATTAATTAATTATGACGTCGACCGGTTCTTTCGACCGGTCTAATCGGTTCGACTGATTGAACCAGTGAACCGGTAGCACAGCCAGTTCGCTGACCGGTCCGGTTCTAAAAACCATGATCGTAAACCATTTCCATCCCCCATAAGCAAAAAAAAAAACATTTACACCAACTACTATGTCATGATATCATGTCCGGTTAGCTTACTAAAAAACAAAGTGTACTGTACCGACATGTGTTGGGTGCAATGCTAAGACATGATGCATTCTCAAAGAGAGAACTCATGTTCGAACCTTGCAACATTGTTGTGAGGGCAGCCACAAACCCCGAATATGAACAGTTAAACGGACATGCACGAATAAAAAACACAAAACAGTCTATTAAAATCCCAATTAGATAGCTAGAAGTTTTCAGCATCATATATCTAAAATCACACACCACAGACACACCATATTGGAGAGCCAATCGACTGGGGAAGGAGGCTTGCCCCACGTGCAGCCCGACCATTGGTTAATATGTTGCTAAATAAATGGAAAATAGAACAAGCATTTACAAAAAAAGATTTTACATACCTCTCAAGCTCGCCCTCACCAAACACGTGGTAATATCTATTGTACACTACAGCACCCTTCTTATCATCTTTCTTTGCCAAACCATTTGCAAGAGCACTGGCAGAGGCACCACTAACTTCAGCGCGATGATAAGGTAAGTGCCAGGGGACAAAATATTCCTGCTGACTCCTTCCATCATTAGAAACCAATGAATCATCTTCATTTTGCGGGGTTGAACGCATTGATTGTAGCATATTCCCATTTAAGCTCTCCCTAGAATCTTTTGGATTCCCACCCAAATCATTTTCCTCAGTTTCAGGAATGCTTTCCAAAGTTGGGGATGAAGGGCCACGAACACAAGGACTACCTGGTCCAATCCACTCTTCTACATACTTTTCAGCAAGTGGAGTCCATTTAGTAAGTAATGACTTGTCCTCTTGTTCAACAGCCCAGATGGTTATTAGAACTAGGCCACCCTTTTTGACAACTCGTACTAATTCTTCAATAGCTTTCTTTCTCCTATTCTCTGTACTTAAGTGGTGTAAAACAGCAATAGAGATCGCTGCATCACAAAAATTAGTTCTGTAAGGAAGATTAACCGCATCTGCAACCAAAACTTCATGCCCTTTATCAGCACAAATTTTGATAAGGGAAGGACTTATATCACATCCTATAAAATAGCAGCTAGAATTTAAACCCAAATATTTCCCATTTCCACATCCTGCATCTAAGATAAGAGAGCCAGAAGGTAAAGATTCCAAGAAAGCAGCAACCTTTGGCCACTTAGCAAAACGGGTTTGAACTAAAATGGGGAGCAATAGCATCATAAACTCGATGGACATATTTCTTTTCTATTTCAGGGGTAGATATCACACTTATAGACAAACACTTATGGTCCTCACTTCGAGACGAAGGTTGCTGGATACCAGGTTCTGTATCAGGTACAATAGTACACAAAGGAGAAGCATCTTTTACTTTGACTTCCTTCATACTCGGGGAACCTACTGAATGGCCCGCTGCAAAGATACAATCAATAGATGGCCGCTTGTATTCCAAAATCGATGACTGTATCTACCAGCACTCAGAGAATTATAAATCATCAGTCCTAAGCATTAGAAACTATCATCAGATCACAAACAATAAGAAAGAAAGAAACAGTGTAATCTATCAGCATGGTTTTATACTTTCAAATCTTAAAAGAACACTTCACATCGCCAATTGGTTATCTACAGAGGGGTGATTGACAAATTATTGAAGGCAATAGAAATGAGATGGTTCTGGAATAATATCCGAATATAGAGCAGCAACCAGGTAAGAAGTAAGAAGAATGGGGTAGATTTCACTAACTTATCTGTTAAATATTTAGTAATTCATTTTTGTGCTTTCCAGCTGATTGAATCTAGCCAGTTCAATACAGCAAAAGAAACCCAGATATTGATAGAGATAAAATCAACTAACTGAAAGTTTATCTGGTTAAAACACTCTCAAATTATAATTCAAACAAACCCTAACTAACTTCATATTCAGCAAATGAAGAAGGGGCATTAAACCAGATCAGTCACAACCTCAATTCACTCACACTGTTACATATAAGCATCATCCAAAACATTATCTTTCTTTTAATTAACCAAAAACTTTTCAATCTTATTCTCATCTGTATTACTAAGAAAACAATCAAAACTTGATAGAGGGGAAAATCGGAGTGCATCTGGAAAAGTTAAAATAAAACACTAATTACTAGAAAAATTAATAAGCTTTTATCGATAAATTATGGTGGCTTACATTGATGCAGAGCCAGCGGAGATGGAGAAGAGAGAGATTAAAGCTGTGGATATTTCATCTGGTTTTTGCGAATTTCGATATTTAGGGTTTTGGAAATGGAAGCATAATAATATTAAGGGAGAAATATTAAAAGACGCATAAGTATAGTACCGAAACGTGAGCCTTCAAATATTGGCCGTTAGATACATAGACGATTCTATTCTCCCAATGAAACTTCCAATAAAATATGGTTCAAGAGTAGAGAATCTAAATATATCAAAGGGTTTCAATTAGTCTTGTTGAATCTTGATGATGATTACGATGTTTTTTATATTGATAATGGATTTTTTTTGTCACCAAGTTTGAGAATGATGAAGATTAGGGTTGTAATCGAGTTGAGTTCGAGTATTGTTGATCTTAATTTAAATCAAAAAGTTTAAAATTGAGCTAAACTTGACTTAAAAATTTGTTAGTTTAAAATTGTCAAGTTTAACTCGAATTTGAAATAAAAAATTAAAGCTCGATTGAAAAATTCACAAACTTGTTCAAGCTCCACTTGAAATAAAAAATAAATAAAACTCGATTGAAGCTCCCGAGTTTTAAGTTAGACGTCAAGTACCTCGTTTCGTCTTATTAACTATTCGAGTCAAGCTCAAACTCGAGCTAAAGTTCATTTAATTCGTGTTGATCAAACTTTGATTGAATCGATATTGAATAATTCAAAATTTATCTCGTCACATTTATAATTTTAATGAATATAGGTTAAAAGTTATGAGACACAATTTAACAATTCGTGAGCGGTAACCATGATTAGGAAATTATTTTCTGTACAACAATTTGGGTTCATTTACTAGGACTATCATTAGAGTAATTTAGCTCTCGGCGTCCCCTTTTTTCCTCTATTTTTTTGGCAGCTTTGGAAGCGCAGAAACGAATTTATTTGTTAACCATGAGTGCAAATCAATGGATGCTACTTTTCACATTGCACTAACTCGGGCGAGACAGTTTACATCTTCTCCTACCTTGCGAGCTGGTATTGCACGGGCTGCTGTTCAGTCTGTTCAATGGGAAAAACCATCCCTTGGCTGGGTTTGTATTAACACTAATGGAACAGTTTCGAATGACACGGGACATAGCTCTGCTGGGGGAGTTATCCGAGACAATGTAGGAAATTGGATTCTCGACTTCACTCAGTTTACAAGTTGCTCACCGCTTGAGGCTAAACTTTGGGGTATGTTTATTGGTCTGAATCTTGCTTGGAGTCGTGGCTTTGGAAGAGTCATAGTCCAATCTGACTGCCTTTGAAGTCGTAAAACTCATTGAAACTGCTAGTGTTGCTGGTACGTTATTTCACTGGTTCATGCGATTGTGGGATTGCGTCAACGACAATGGGGAACGCAATTCATATGGATTCCTCGTGAAGCTAATAAAGTAACGGATGCTCTTGTGAAACTCGGATTTCCACATCAAGTTGGTCTCACTTTATTCAGTGTTGCTTCTCCGCCCATCGCCAGCTATGTTTCGAGAGAGATTCATGGTTCCCGTAGCTAAGATCATATTGTAATCTTTAATCCATTTCTACTTAAAAAAAGATAGAATACACAAATGGTCCCTCAGTTATAGGGTTTTACTATTTTGAGTCCTCTAACTTTTAAAAGTTACAAAATGATCTTTTGACTATATAGTATTATTTTATTCCGTTTTTGACTATTAAAAGTTATAAAGTGGTCATTTGACAATTCATATGTTCCAAACTTATCTTTTTCCGTTTAAAAATTAGAGGTTGTATGAGCTAGACAAAAACATATTAATTGAGATGTCATAAAATCTAATCTCAAAATCATTTGAGATGTATTTTGTGGATCAACTTCCGATTTATATTATGCCATCGAGCCAACGCTTAAAACATTATGATGTTGAGCCAATGCTTGAAAGCAACGACAATGTCAGTAGAAATCATCAAAATATGATTGATAATATAATATTCAGTATGTTGAAATCTAGTTTAGATGACTATTAATTTTTTAATTGAAACAAATGAGATTGGAACATATGAATAGTCGAGTGACTATTTTGTAACTTTTAATAGTTAAAGGACTAAAAAAATAACACCTTAGAATAAGTGGACTATTTTGTAACTTTTAATAGTCAGAGACTCAACAAAGACACATCGCATAACCGAAGGACCATTTATATACTTTATCCTATTTTTAATTAATCCTATAAATTATAATAATGAGCAAAAGGAATTGACGACTCCAAGCTCCGGCGGGATGTCTCTCTTTTACCAAGATTGAGATCATATTTTACCTGTAAACAAAACCCCATTTCATCCAATTAATTAATTAATTATCTTCTAAATATTTATTTCATTTATTAAAAATCCCCAATATTTTTTCTCTCATTATTTACGCATCTAAAACACACACTCTCCCAAAAATCCTACCTGACAAGATGTTTTCGATTTACAAAAGCACCCGCACATCACTAAAAACAATTCATCGATTCAAAAATAATAATAATAAAAAGCTAAACCTTTTTTGGGATAAAGCACACAAATGATCTCCAACTATAAGACGTTACTTTGTTAAGTCTCCAACCTATCAAAAGTTATGAAATTATCCTCAAACTATTAATGTATTTTAAACTCGTCATTTTTCGTTAAAATTTGACGGTTGGTTGAGTTAGACATTAACTTTATCACTAAGATATGATAAAAATTTGATCCCAAAACTATTTGAATTGTATTTTGTAAATTGAGTATCTGTTTACTTTATGTCATCGAGTTAATGCTTAAAATATTATGCTGTCAAGTCAGTGTTTGAAAGAGATGACAGAGTCAATAGACATTGTTAAAATATGCTTTTATTATATCACAATAAGCAAATTAACGTTGGCTTAAACGACTGTTAATTTTTTAATGAAAAATGAGGAGTTTAAAATATATAAATAGTCGGAAGACCATTTTATAACTTGTAATAAGCGAGAAACTCAACAAAGCAACACGGAGGATCATCTTGTAACTTTTAATAGTCTAGAGACTCAACAAAGTAGAGTCTTATAATCTGGGGACTATTTTTGCACTTTACCCTTCATTTTTTCACCGTCTGTCTCAATTTTTTTTTTTTAAAAAATTTCCTCTCATTCACTCTCTTTTTGTTTTTTTTAAGCACTCTCATTCACTGTCGTTTGTATGAAAAATGGACCCTTCTCTGTAAAGATTCATCTTCCCTTTCTTCCAGCTTAAGCACCTGCCGATCCGCAACTGGGTACTTAACTTCATTGCTCCTCTGCATTATTTTATTGTATTTGTTTAGTGTTTAAATGGATTAAAAATGTCGTTTTTTTACATGGATTATTGTTTCCATGTGCATTTATTGACTTGTTCTCTGTTGGGTTGGGTCAGTTCTTCCTTTTGTTTTTCTAGTGGCAAATTAGTTCTTTTTTTTCTTCTTGATGTTATCTAAAAAGGAAAAAATAGTGGTCTTTTGGAGCTTCTGTAAGGTGCTATTCATTTTTCTTATTTCGGTGTGACATTTGGTTTTGGATTCTCTTTTACTCTATCCTTTTTCCTTTTCTGTCAGTCTTTCTGAAGGTGGACATTTGCAACTTTGTTTCTTTTGAAGTAGTGGAGTGCCATTTTCTCTTCTTTGCTTGTTTTGTCATCTTTAAAGCTTTTTCTTTTGAAGTTCACTCTTTTACTTTTCAATAAGAAGGGTTTGGATCCGCGAATTTTAAGTCAGAGTTTTGAAGTTTGTTTCTGGGTTTTTGCATTTTGGGAAAATTTTGCCTTTCTTTGAGCAAGGTATGGTCTGGAATTAGCGATATCCTCTAATTTGGCTTTTAGTTCAAATATCCTCTTTATTCATATTTGGATCTTGTGTTGGTTTCTGAAGAAATGAAGTCTAACTCCCTAGGTCAGATAATTGAAATCAGCAGAGTTTAAGGGTTTTATCCCCTAGATTTTAACTTTGAATTTTGTTTAATTTGCATTCCTGGTTACTGAACTGAAACCTTGATCTGAATTGACCTTCTGTGTAATTGGGTTCTTTATAATAAAAAAAAAACCTTTTGTTTGCTTTTATATTGTTTTGTCCTAATTATGTTACTGTCTTGGTGAAGTACACTTATTCATGGGATCTCAAAGCTCGCAGTAGGCACTGGATTCCAAAAATGCTCATACCTGCTTTTGAACTAGTTTATTTGGTCTCAGATGTCTTTATGCAAATGATATGGTAATTTTGGTTGATTTGTTGTAAGCAGGGACAGTTTAATCAGGGGGGATTGTTATTTCATAGAGCTGGTGATTAATTGATTTGCTGGTAATGTCGAGGGTCCCCAAGTGGAAGATTGAGAAGACAAAAATAAAAGTTGTGTTCCGGTTACAATTCCACGCTACACATGTAAGTCGCAATTTGTAATTGTGGAATTTTCTTACATTTTTATTCATGATTTCTATTTGAAGCTAATATCTTATTGATATTATTATATGGAAGAACATGTTACAAGTTGATGAATTCGTGATACTGGAAATTGTTACGTGTACCAAATTGTACAATGTACCTTATTAAGGTGAATCAAGAACTCAATGGCAAAGCATTGAATGTAGAACTTTAGCTATATTATGTGAATGTTCTATGATGTTCACATGGATTGTGATTTTATCTTTTATGTTACTTCCACCATGCAATTACGATTTCATGATTGCTTGCATCTGGTAGGAAATATGTATTTTGAATGCAAATTTTGCTTTCAAGTATTTCACTGGTGTTTGCAGTTAGAGAGTTATAGTGGTCAACAATAAAAAAATAGATTTGGAAGTTTACAAAATGGGTGTAGATTGCTCAATGCCCAAGGGTTTTAGAAGGCCAGCTGTTTGAGGGATTTATTTTTATGCACTAACCATGATTGGGGTGCAACAAGGATTGGCATCAAGTCATTTTATCTTCGCCATAGTATTGGATAGATGGTCAACTAGACTTCAGTCCTAAACTGGTTGAATCATCTTGATGACTGATGTCCACCATTTCATATGATCTGTGAATCTAATTTTTCCCACTATTTATATGCCGGTAATCTAATATGTGATTGATTGATTG